TGTAAATGTTCCCCAGTGCAGAGTACTGCCTGAAGTCACTACCTCATCCCCATCCTCATCCTCATCTCCACTACCCGTCTCCTTCCTCCTTCCCACCCTCCTCCACAGACGTCACTACACACTACCCCTCCAAGTGATGACTGTCACCCTTTCCTCGCATCAGGTGCAGACACACACGTGACCATCACTAATGCAGCAAGGAAGAAATGAAGAGGGAGACATCAAAGGCGAAATAACGGTGCCACAGAAGTGCAGGCGATTGGACGCACCTCCCTCCTTTTCTATGGCCTTCACTTCTTTCCCATGGAAGAAGAACAACACCAATCTATCCACCCATCTCCCGCTAACTGCCAACATATCGCCCTGCAATCTCGTGCAACTGTCGAGTTGGCGACTTCACAACAACACCTACTTTAAGTCACTTTACCTGCTTGGCCTAATCAGGAAGAGGATCTCACGACACGAACACGACCAATTGTTGCACAAGCTATCATCACCACTGACAAATTGATGATGGTGTTGGTGAGTGGGGCTGCTTCTGAGCCAAAGGCAAGGCATCAAGGGGATGCAAAAACGAGATCACGTGGTGTAGACGACGATGCAACTACTGATGTGGTGGTTTGCAATGTCACCGAGACGGAACGGTGTCATTTGATCAGTGGACAATTGGATGCACCTGGATTCACTGGATCCACCCACAACACTGGTGCATGAATGGCGTTTGCAAAAGCGAGGCGAGGCGAGGCGAGAGATGGGATGGGAGGGAAGAGGAGGAGAGGGGTGAGGAAGAGAGGGGAGGGGATGGAGCAACCCAAGTTAGGGAAAGGGGTTATCTCGTGGATAAATCTCCACCAACTCTGAATAAATAAATAAATCATGAATGATTTTGCTGATCACGCGCGTTAGGACAAACTGGTGATGCAAAAGGGCACATTTGGGTGCGAAAAAGTGAGGCGTGGGGAGACCATGATTGGTGCATCTGACAAGGCCAATGTGAGGTGAATTGGATTCGATTTCAGGAATCAGGAGTGCCTCCAAGTGATGTTGGAGACCAGACAGTCGATGCGTCGCACCGAATTGCCATGCCTTGACTCGCCCCTGCCTTCCCCTCCCCTCTGACGTCACAATTCCTTTCGACGAGGCAGACTTTTGCACTTTCATGCATAATCACTGGAGGAACTGCGCCCAATGCTGCGAAATCAGTGCAAATGTCACTGCTGCCTCCTACGAAAAAGAGGATGCACACGAGTTGAAGTGAGTTGTGACAGGAAAGTGTGCATCCTTGTGCTGTGCATTTGACGACTGCATTTGACAATCTCGATACCTTGCCGCGCTTTCGTCTACACCACCTGTCTCACCACCCTCCTCGCTGGGTTTATCACACAACTACTGCTGCCTCTGCTGCTGCTACTGCTGCTGCGTCTCATCCTCCAGGGTCACCACCTGTCCTCCACACTGATGGCAGTGGTAAACAGTGATATGACAAATTGGCGAATGAATGTTCCAACTGTATTGGCTGGAGAGTGGCGCCTTTACATCAGATCGTGCTGACACTGACGAGAGAAAAGCTGACGTCAACCACCTCAATCGCATGCCTCACACAATGTTCGATGTCGCGAAACGGGAGGAGAGTTGAACGAATGGGATGGGATAAGATTGACCCCATGCGTAGCTGCCTACGCCATCACTGAAACGACAAGTGGGACCGAGCCACCTGAAATGGACTTATGCCAAATGTTTTACGTGCCACGCAAAGGCATGAAAAGCAATCCATTCAATCCATGCGTAATGGCCCACTGTGTATTACAGCGAGAAGTTCTCAACAAATACGCAATCGGGACCCAAAAATCGAAACGTAGAACGCATAAGATAGAACTTTGGCGTAGAACGCAGGGGACAGAGCCCTCAACATCACGGAGTCCACAACCGCCTTCTTGCCAACGCCTGTTGTTCGCTGTCTCCATCGTGGTTAAATTCGATGTTCACTGTCGAAGCAGTCACGATTGCAGAAGAGTAAGGGTGATGGAGAGGATCGCTGACGATGACACTCGAAAGACGGCGATGCGAGGTGTGTAGCAGAACGATGTTTCTTTAACTGCTACATTTGTCTTCCAATGACTAGTTTGGTGGCTTGGTGTTCTACACCACCACTGAAGTGGAATGAAGGGTGAAACATCCAGAGAGCGAAAACAGGTGGAGGAAATGAAGTATTAGTATAAATAGGCCTTTAATTCATCGTTTGCTGTGATAAATGTGTACAGAAAGACTTCAGAGCAACTTGGGCAGGAAGAAGCAGCCGCAGCAGCGGCATCGACAGCGGCGATGGCAACAGAAGGAGGAGGAGGAGGATGAGTACAAATGCCCGGTGCGAAGGAGCAAGTGCAGGAGTAACGGGTGCAAGAGTAGGAGATGGAGGACAGAGAGGAGGAAAAATGCAGTTCAGAGCCCGCTGTGGTAGTAATCATCGTAATTGTCATATTCTACACCATCATTTTTAGGTGAAGGGAGAGGTATTTGAAGGAGGGTTGGAGACAGAACCCTTGGGAAGCGAGGTGGAGGAAGTAAAAATGCCCCCCAAACCACGTATCAGGCCACCACTGGACCGCGAATGTGTGGTGGACACAGTGGTTACTGACGTCGTTGTTGTTGTAGTTATGGCCACAGCCGCTGTCGTTGATGTCGGCATCAATGCCGTCCCCACCACCATCGACGTCCCCGACGCTGGCGCTGACGCTGACACCGGCACCAACGCACCTTCACCATGTAGGTGGTGATGCAACGAGATGGAAGTGGTGGGAGTGAATTGACTCAGTTCCATCAGGCTCTCACGAAGGTTTGGTACGTTTGGCTTCTGTTTCACAGCCAGTTGTGCCTTGTTCAACAGCGTGCGGGCATTGCTCAGACCCGTGCACTCACCTCCCCCTCCGCCTCCTCCTCCACCTCCTGCTCCACTGGAATCGGGTAGAAACACCAGTTGGAAGTAGCTCGCCAGTTGGGCTAATTCGCGACTCATGGAGTTGGCACTGGCACGCATTGCCTCCTCAATGTACAGGCCTTCCAGCCGATTCAATTCCTCTGTGGAAAGTGGGGACTGGAAAGGAAACGCAAGTATGCTTACACAGTGATGAAGAATGTGAAGATTCGAGCACACCCTCCCCTCATTCCAAAGTGTTACTGAACAGCAGTGAATGCGCGAAATGTGGAGGTCGAAACGGGCATTTATTTACCCATCCATCCGTCTCTCTACCTACCCACCCACCCACCAACCGTTCAACCCCATCCATTGTTCTAAAACGGCATCTTCTGAGCACAACAAACACCTTCATCTTCTCCT